TTTGATTAGCAAAATGGTGAATTTGATTTGCAAAAATTTGAATTTGATTTGCAAAAGAGTAAATATAATTTACTATAGGGTTAATTTGATTTGGAAAAGGGTGAATTTACTTCGCAAAATTTAACCTGGAAAAGGGTGGATTTGATTTGTAAAATATGGAATTTAAGAGTAAATTTTATTTGTAAAAGAATGAGTGTAGTTCGCAAAAGGGGAAATTCAATTTGCAGAAAAGGTAAGTTTATTTTCAAAAATGCGAATTTGATTTTCAAAAGGTTTATCTTGATTCGTAAAAAATTGAAATTATTTGAACTAGAGATAATTTGAATTGAAAACAAATTTATTCTGCCAAAGCCTGAATTTGATTTGCAAAAGTGTGAATTTGATTTACAAAAGGGCAAATGTAATATGCAGTAGGGTTAATTTGATTTGAAAACTATGGAATTTAATTTGTCATAGCGTGAATTTGATTTGCAAAAGTTTGAATTTGATTTGCAAAAGAGTAAATATAATTTACGATAGGGTTAATTTGATTTCGAAATGGGTAAACTTACTTTACAAAATTCAATTTGGAAAAGGGTGGGTTTGATTTGTAAAATAGGGAATTTTGGAATAAATTTTGTTTGTAAAAATATGAGTATCATGCAAAAGTGGAAATTCAGTTTGTATAAAAAGGAATTTTATTTGATTTACAAAAGGTTGATCTTAATTCGTAAAAAGGTGAAATTATTTAGAATAGAGTTACTTTGATTTGAAAACGAATTTAATCTGCCAAACCCAGAATTTGATTTGCAAAAGTGTGAATATGATTTGCAAAGGGCAAATGTAATTTGTAATAGGGTTAATTTGATTTCAAAACTTTGGAATTTAATTTGCCATAACTTGAATTTGATTAGCAAAATGGTGAATTTGATTTGCAAAAGAGTAAATGATATTGGCGAAAGGGTTAATTTGATTTAGAATTGGGTGGATTTGATTTGTAAAATAGAAGATGTAATTTTACAAAAGAGAAAATTTAATTTGCACAAAGGTAAATTTGATTTCCAAAACGTTGAACATGATTCGTAAAATAATGAATTATATGCAATAGGGTTAAATTGAATTTGAAAACGATGGGACCTGAATTTTTTATTTGCAAAAGTGTGAATTTGATTTGCAAAAGAACAAATGTAATATGAAATAGGGTTAATTTGATGTGAAAACTATGGAATTTAATTTGCCATAGCGTGAATCTGATTAGCACAATGGTGAACTTGATTTGCAAAAAGGCAAATGTAATTTGCAATAAGGTCAATTTGATTTGGAAATGAGTGGATTTGATTTGTAAAAGAGGAGATTTAATTTGGGAAAAGGTGAATTTTATTTCTAAAAGGTTGAACGTGTTTCGTAAAAGGGTGAATTTATAAGCAATAGGGTTAATTTGATTTGGAAACGATAAAATTTAATTTGCCAAAGCCTGAATTTGATTTCCAAATTATGGGTTTGATTTGCAAAAGGGAGAATTTGATACACAAAAGGGCAAATGTAATTTACAATAAGGTTAATTTGATTTGGAAAAGGGTGGATTTGATTTGTAAAATAGGGGATGTAATTTTAGAAAAGAGGGAATTTAATTTGCCAAAAAGGTGAATATGACTTCCAAAACGTTGAACGCCATTTGTAAAATAATAAATTTATATGCAATGGGATTAATTTGATTTGGAAAATAGTGGATTCGATTTGGAAAATAGGGAATGAGCAAATTTAATATGGAATAGGGTTAATTTGATTTTCAAAATGATGAATTTCATTTGCAAAAGTGCGAATTTGATTTACAAAAAGTAAATTTAATTTGCGATTGGGGTTAATTTAATTTGAAAAAAGAGAATTATAGTCGAAAAAAGTGAATTTTATTCGGAAAGAATGAATTTGTAAGCTTTATAACTGGCCTTAATAGTTTACTAAATTTGTAATTGTTAACATCCATCCACGTACCCGTAAATAAAGGTAACCCCAACCCGATGTGTTTGCCTTTAGGGAATAGTGAGGATTTTCGGGACAATTATATGCAAGTTATTATGTCCGGTTTGCCGGCAGTATATCAGACAAACAAAAGCGGCAAACAAAGCAGCGGCCGTTGTTTGACTATGGAAAGTTCCTCTACGAGCGAACGGCAGATCAAAAACAAACATGACCAGGAGTGAGACAGAGGTCGGCGTGTACTCGGCAACTTGCTTCCCATTAGTATTTCATGTGAGCCCATCACCGACTCGATATCTCAGGTCTAAAAAACAAAGTCAAACACCGCAGGAAAGAGGGGAAAAGGGGCCGAAGTGGTTAAACTCTTTCCGGGATTTCAACCGCTTATTTCAATACAGGCTACAGTTGATTTTTTTATGATTGTACACGTTGAAAACCGCCTCAGCGCCGATTTCGTACACAAACGGAAAACTGACATTTTTAAATATTCAAACGAAACCCGGGTTTACTCTCCGGTAACCACTATTAACGGAAATTAGTGCAAATATACTCCAGTTAACTTAAACAGATTTTGAACCTTTAGTGTTTGCCCCTTGTCTATGAATTCTTTAAAAAAGTAACTAGCTCAAACTTTCCTCAAAAATTAATTACAAAAGTAAATTATACTTCGATAATGGTTTTATGGCGGACATGCTAGCAATATATAAATCTACCTTTTCAATATTTTTCAACGATTTTGAAGTACAGGAAATCTTCTGGCTGGCAAGCTTAAAATGAACAAACCCCCTTCCTTCCACGCTAATAAGTACATTCATTCCAATAAATTAACATAAAGTCAAAACAGTTCCAAACAGACAAAACATAACCACTAAATACATTATTATTTGGAGAAAGGTGAGATGGGGTCTGGTAGTAGGTTTAGAAAAACATTTTCTTTATCGTGCCAACGTTTCGAACTTTATTGAGATCATCTTCTGTGCATGGAATTTATAAACATTGTTTAAATTATAAAAATACATGTAGGATGTGAAAAAATTAATTTATACAGTGATAGAAATTTTGATTCAATCAAAGAATTTGTACTGACTCCAAGTGTTTGCTTTCTGTGTAGGTGTGTCAATGTCGTATGTCATGTTAGTGAGATATTAATGTTTTTTGTTTACATATGTTGATTTTAAAAGAGAGGGAAAGGAAGTAGAGATATAAATTTCGATTAGATAGACAGGGATAATAGGGAAAGGAAAGACAAATTGTAGAAGAATTAGACTATGTAGAAATGCTTGATGTGTGGAACGTAATGACTGTTTTATATGTTGTATTAGAGGTTTTATGTGTTATGTGTATGTTATTGATGTTGATTATGATATTAACGTAGCTGTGACTGAGTCTGTTCTGTAATTGATGTTTTTCTCTGTTGGCGCATACCATTTCTAAAAAGTTACGAATGTTTGTTTTGTTTCATTCTTCAAATATTTGTCTTTTCTTTTTGCTAATTATCCCCGTTGTTATCTGTTCTCTCTTTCGGCTCTCACCACACTAAAAAACATTTTCTCCCTAAACCCAGACAAATTTAATATTCTTGCAAAGTTAAAGTAATTTCAAGACGTAGGTGCAGAAGTATTATTCAAATGGATTCCAGGCCATGCTGGAATAACTGAAAATGAGAAGGCGGGCGGGAGAGGCAACCATGGTTGGTACTCCTCACAGAGGGGTTCCCTTCAGTGACCTCTGCTTTCACTTTAGCCGGCTCGTCTGGGAGGAATGGAAGTGTGAATACGGTGACTGCTCCTCGCAATAAAGAAAGATGTTAAGAAATGGGAATCCTCTTCCAGACCTTCCCGACAAGAAGAAACCCTCCTAACCAGGCTTTGAATTGGCCACTCCCGACTCACGCATGGTTTCCTCCTTGGAAAAACCCCTAAACCTATATGTCCACTCTGTAAAACTACTCACAATATTGCACATACTTAAAGACTGTCCCATATACACCTCTACAAGAACCCTTCACCAAATCCCCAAAGACCTCCAATCTTTACTAAGCAACAACTCAACGTCAATAAACAAAATTTTTAATTTCTTAACAGACATCAAACTAATAGATAAAATTTAATATTCCATCCCCTCAACTCTTGTTTTCATTTGCCGGTTCCCCGTTTAGGCAGTGTGGCACGGCTGACTTCGGGTGCTGGCCAGTCTTGGGCTGGATTTAAGGGTGCCTCCCCGGACTCTGAGATCAAGGAATTGCCAGCGAGCTTGGAGGAGGTGTCGATGGTGACTAGACATCGACCCCTCCTCGATAAAGCCCTGCGCACAATATTAAGATTAAAAGCATCAGCTGCGAGAGATACGTGGGGTTCCGTTCTTTCCGATCCTGGGGCTGCCACTGCTCCGGAATTTGCGGGGGCTTCGCTCTGATGGGGCCGGGCTGCACCGTTGACTAGTATAGACTCGAGACTTAATGACCAATAAGGTCGCAGCCTTTATTTAAAGAAAAAAAATCGTCAATGATTTTTTTCGTGTTTTAAAAAAATGCAAATTATAATTTTTTTCAGCCTAAATTGCGAAAAAAAACTGGGTTATGAATTTTGAAAGTTTTAACATTTCACATGTGTTTCGATCATTTTATATATTAAATCGTAAATGATATTTTTCGGGCTTTTAAAAAATGCAAATTATGATTTTTATTCAGCCTAATTTGCGGAAAAAACTGGGTTATGAATTTTGGAAATTTTCATCTACTATTCGGTTGTTTTGAACTCATAAATCATTAGTGGCACGTTTGATGATAGTCTTTCGATATTCCTTCAGAATTTAATTAAAAATTAGATTAAACTTGTTGGAAATAACTTCAAATTAAACTAAATAAGAATTTTTACTTTAGGAATGTTTTTTTCATAGCAATTTACGATCAGCTGATTATTATGATAAAAGAAACATATGTAAAAAAAGTAGTAGGATTCATATCTTGGCAATATTTTGTGTACAAAGTTTTATTTAGTTGAATGTAGAAAATTTTACTACCTTTACCGAGTGCATAGATAAATATGTCCGTTCAGTTTTTGTTCTGCGCCTTATTGACTGTTGCGGCGGGAAATGACCTAGTACCCGGAGATGGTATCTCCGAGGATGTTCAAAGCTTCTCTGCTGCCGTCAAGTATCCGTTTATGGTAAGCTTGAATTATTACAAAACGGGAGGTCACTTTTGCTCTGGTTCCGTCCTGTCGTCGCGACACGTCTTTACCACCTGCCAGTGCGTCGTGCGCATCTCCGGCGGGACGGCCCGGATCTTGGATACAGACATGTTCTACCTGACGATAAAATCCGATAGAGGGAAAGACGATGTAAGGACGCCTGTCAAGGTGATCGTCCACAGAGGCTGCAGAAAGCAAATGTACGGCTGGGAGTTCGATTTCGCAGTCGTCAGGATCAACGCGCCGATCAACGTCAGTTACTCGGTCCCTCCTGCCATCCCGAACGACGAAAAAGAAATGAACGAGTTTTACAAAGGGGCGAACGAGTGTAAACTCGTCGACTGGACGGTCAATTTCGACAGCATGGCCTACTTCACAGATTACGCGCTACGTCTCATGGGGAACGACGAGTGTGAAAAACATCTGTGCTCCCGATACAGTATAAAATGCAGGATCAAAGATTTCAGGGACAACTATGTCTGCTTCGACGGAGAAAGGGTTTGTCCAGGGAACGGAGGAGGCCACCTCTTCTGCAGAAACAAGTTCGCCGGCATCGTCAACTGGACTCCGAATTGCAATTCCGGAGATCCTCTCGTTTTCTCAAAGCTCGCTAACATTTTCTCCTTCTACAAGAGCTACAGAGAAGAACAGATCAACGACTACAGGAACCTCCTAGGACAAGTTATCAGGGCATTCATTTTCGTCTGCGTTTCTTTCTGCCTCTTCTGCGGTATCATCCTGGTAATTTTCTTCTACTTTTACATCATCTTTGCCAGACGAAGAGGAAATTCTTTGTTCAATCAAATGTAATTTGTTAAATATAATGTGTTTAGATCATCTTTTGTTTATGATTTCATTTTTTTTATTTTTATATATATCTACAACTGTACATGATTATACACAAATATTGGATTTAATTTTGACATATGACATTAATCCGCGTTATAGAGGAAGCCACTCCAGCAGTCTCTGTGGATAAATGATTTAAGAAGTCGCGTATCCATATTCTTTGATAAATCTACGATGGACTAAATATATTTGTGTGTTTGTGTGATCTTGCAACTTAGTGCGAAAACGCTTATTTTCGTTCTTTAATGGGTTTTTGATTATGAAAAAACAGTCGGTATGTGAAGATCGCAAATTTTGTTGTTGTTTACAGAAGAATAAAGCAAAACATTTCAATCTTTGAATATTTGAATATTTGACCGATCCAAAAACTTAGCACCCGTACATCAAAATAGATTTGACTAAGTATGTCATGTTTAGATTTAAATCATCCCTTGATTAAAGAGTTTTTGTAAAAAGAAAATAATTGGTGTGCACACAAATCAAGTGAGTCAATTTTAAAATTTGACTAAAAGCAGATATTTTTATAAACAGACGAAAAAGGCTAATTGACTCAGATGTCGCTGCAACTTCTTACTATGCCGCTGAACTTTAAGCGGTGGCGCAATTGGAGGGTTTGGACAAATTGCAAATCAGGTATTATAAAGAGCTGTCCCATCTGTCTCGCAACAAGCCTGATCATTACATAAAAATTGAGTTCGATCTTGGATTTCTTAGCTCCAAAATTTTGATTAGGGCCATACACTAGCTAAGTAAAGTGCTAGCTTCAGACAAAAAATCGCATCTGAAGAGATCGTTTGAATCTGTTTTGTCCGCAACGAACATTTTTTCACCTCGTAAAAAATATTGCAGATATGGCTTGTTCATTTACATCATATATTGGCTCGTTTGGGTTTCGAACCTTCCTTTTTTTTTCTTTTTTTTTTTTTTTAAATATTCAGCAAGTGTACGGACCTTTGAAATATCAAATTCCATTTTTCAACATGACTAGAAATTCATAAAGCAGTAAATAAATAACAAGTAACGAGAGCAATAAAGATTGATCGACACTATAAATACTAAGAATAAAAAAATTCGGTGCGAAAACAACAACTGCAACAACAACAAAGAATAACAACAACATGAATAAATAAACGAGCAGACCTACCAAATAACAAATTACATTTTGACAAAACTAACAATTTGAAGACGCAAACTAATAAATAAATAAAAAGTAACAGATGCAATAATTTCTACAATTCAACTAACTGCAATACTCCCATTTTTTCGTGATGTAAGTGTGGTGGCGAAGCACAAAAGAGATATGAAGCATTGGAAGAGTAATCTTTATTCAATTAACATCGACCGATGCATTGGCTCCGTTTTCAACCCCTTCTTCAGGCGAATTTCCTCTCTTTATTTATGCAAAAATTATTTACTTCGAAATGTTTCCATTGGCCAAGCAGAGAATTATAGTGCAACTTAGACTATAAGGCACCGCAGCAATGAGGCTGTTTTGCATTACATACTCCATTGACTGGACACAATTATGCACAATCTGCAATTTCAAGTTCAACGAAACTTTGCAGCACATAATATGGGAGCGCCCAATATATTCATCGTTAAGGAAAAAATATATTTTGCATTGTATAAATTCACTTTTTTCCACATCCTACATTTATTTGTTAAATGTAAACAATGTTTGTAAATCCCAGGCCCTGAAGATGATCTCAATAAAGATCGAAACGTTGGCACGATAAAGAAAATGTTTTTCTGAAACCTACATCACACCAGACCGCATCTCACGATCTCTGAATAATCATCGATTAATGGTCACTAATCACCACACCCTTATAAAGAAAAATAAAATAAATAACATTTGATTTTTAAATTTGTGATAAAAAATTATTTTTTATAATTCAATTTTTTTTAAATTTTTAACTTTAATTTTCTTTATAAAATGAATTAAATTTGACTTTAAAATTGATCAATTTTGTAGATTTTTAAAATAGATTGTATCACAAAATATAAAAAGGTTCTTTAAATAAAACAAAATAATAAAAATAATTGTAATTTTATATGAAATAAATTGTAATTGAAGATTCCTAATTTAAAAAAATAATAATTTTATTTTTCTTTATAAAATGAATTAAATTTGATTTTAAAATTGATAAATTTTGTAGTTTTTGTAGTTTTGAAGAATTATCGATGGACAAAAACATTCTCAAACCTGCAACTGTGTTACTAAAAAAATTTAAAAAAATTTTCGAGATTTAACTTATATAAAAATCATTATTTGCTTGTTTTAAAAATACGTTTGTAACAAAAGTTCTATCTTTTAGAAATTCTTTCAGGGAAATTGCTCTGTCTATCGATGTAATCTGTAATAAACAGTAACTCGGCCAGTTCGTGTTTGGTTATTAAAGGCAGTTGTTAAAGTAGCTGAAGAAAAATAAACAACAGTAGAAAGAAAAGTCAAGAAACCCTTCGATTTAAGAACAGCAATTGTAGAGGAGGCGGAGGGAGGCAAGTTCCACAGAAACTAGTTAAATATGTGAGTGGTTACTTGTCAAGATTTACACTCTACGGGTGAGGGGAGCCGGAACGGGATAAAGGGGCATAGCGGCCTCCATCCCCCGGCCTAGAGAAAAGGGCTATAAAGTGAAATATACGCGTAAAGGAGGGCGATAATATTTAGGACTCTTGTTACCCGTTATTCCCCTTGTTTTACTGCTACTTCTCTTTATCGCGAGACGTAGGAAGGAGGACGACTCGTGGAATGAAATGTAAAACCACCGGCTTACTGCTCTCACGGTTTCTTTTATTCGCTCGAGTTACGCCAGCAAGGCCTATTATTTTCCACAGGGTTACGCCCCATAGGATGAATAAAGTCAGCTTCAGAGCGATGTCGGCGCAATGACTTCATTTGTACTTCTGTGAAAACTGGAAGAACGGGGATATTTAGTCTACCAGCTTTTGAGCCATAAAATCAATTTAGAACTAAACTATTTTATATAATAAAATTTATCGTCTTGCACTTCATTTTTCTTCATTTCATTCACTTGCAAATCATTTTTTAATCCAGTTTTTTAACTTCTCAATGCTATTTGATCACCATATTTTGGATAAGATCCAGTTATGTTAAGGTTAGAGATTTTATTAAACAAAGCACACAATGATAGAAATAATACTGATATAGGTGTTTTAGTTGGTCCTTTTAACTAGAGTAATTATTTGAAGTTTTTTTTTATGTTTACAGGGATCTTCACACGCCAACAGTTTTATCATCCATAACGTCATATTAAAGACATTTTTATAGTAAATTACAAAATCACAAATATGATTACTCCATTCCGTACAAGTACCTCGTAAGCGACTGAAAATAATACGGATAAGAGATCTCTTAAATAATTGATATAATTTTATTAATCTAGAGCGCTGCCAATCGGTAGCTTTCTCTATAACGCCCGTAATTGGTACAATCATAAATTGAAATCCATTCTGCTGGTTGTATATAATACATGTACAGTTGTAAACGAAAATAAAGAAAAAAAGTTGTTTAGAAGCAATTCACGGCGGAGGGTTGCTTTAGTTGTGCAAGACCGACGAGTCGTGGGGGTTTAGCATACTCTCTGAGCCGTGAATGAACGAGGTTTCCTTAGTGTCTTGAAATGCAAAAAATAAATGTTTCTATTATTAATAAGGTTTTCATTCTATATCACCTAAAGTTTTTTTTTTGTTTTTTTTTAGTATGAAAGTTTCCATTGGAAATTTTATACGCAATTTTGAACTTGATTACGTTTATTTTTGGTTTTGCTGTCTATTTGTTTGCTACCTGGATTAAACATGAAAAATTTGAAATTCACGGCTGACGAAAACCACGTCAATATTAAGACCATTTAATTTAATATATACCTATAAATAATATTGTGAATTAAGGACTTTGCATAGGCGGCATATTTTACGAAGTATAAAATGAAAAAAAAATTGTACCCAGGGAAGAAGAGAGTTATCTTACGTTAGAGATTTTATTAATCAAAAAAGACAATTATACAAATAATACTAATTTGTGGGAATACCTTGCCGGCGGTTGAGGGTTTTAAATTGCTAGATATCCCACCGTGGGCATTACCTACTGCCACAATTATCGAAGATCTGGCCTTGTTGAACAAAAGAGAAACACCTTCTCTGATGATCAAGGCAGAATTCTTGCGAATTTTAAATAACTATCCCAATTANGATAAATAAGATTACGAGTGAATGTTTGGAGTCAGAGCTTTATAGCACTCAGAAGAGATATAGCTAACCTAAGATAGAAGGTTTGGATGTTAGGGCGTGAAATGACCTTATCCGTTAAAACGCCCTTAAAAATTAATAATAATAATAATAATAATAATAATAATAATTTGTGTTTTAGTTGGTCCTATTACCAGAGTAATAATTTGAATTTTTTTTTTTTATGAAAGCTGTGATTCAGTTGAAAAATTAGAGACCGGGCGTTCCCATAAAGAAACCGTATGTAACTCCTGTATTATAAAAACCAAAATAAAATATTTGAAAAACTTGGAGTCTTATTTTAATTTTTAACTCCTATTGTTACTTATAACATTTTACCAGACCATCAATTTGGCTTTCGAACCTATCAATCCACTACTCATCATCTTCACAGAGTTATAGATGTCTTCATGTCTTGAGTAGAAACTGTACGCAACTGGAGTGTTTCTAGATGTTTCTCAGCCTTCGACAAAGTTTGGCATAAGTGATAATACAAATTAAAATTATTTTTACCCTAGGTCTATAATATGATTATTAGATCATACGTTAAGAAGAGATTTTTTGCAGTAAACTAAGGATCGGAGACTTCTGAGATGAAAGACGTTCTTGCAGGTTTACAACAAGAGTCAATACTTGCTCCGCGGTTATACATAATTTTTATTTCTGATATAGCCAAGAATAAGAATGCACTTACCGCCTCATACGCAGATGACAACGCCATATTGACATCCCTTTTCTACACAAGCTTATGTTAGAAAAATTCACACATCAACGATTGAAAAATACAGCAATCTTTGTAAAATAAAGTTTAACCCTTCAAAGTTACAACTCCGCCATGAAACTCGTCGTAGCATATACTTATACAATGAACCTGTCCCTCAATTTGACAAAGTTAAATATTTACGACTTCCATTTGATAGAAGACTAACTTG